GAATCAATGATGGCCTCAGTCACGATTCTTTTTGTATCCCACTGTAATATGTGAGATATAGAAAAATAAGTAGATGCTTTTCTTTTTTGAAAAACGTTCAATATAGAGGTAGATGAATGAAGCTTACCACCTTTTGAATGTTTCAGTAGAGGACATTCGGAAATTAGATGTTCATTCGAAGCACAATACATACATAAGTTTAGTTGTCTCCTTATTCTTTCTTCAGAAGTAAGAGGACTTTTTATTATACCTACTTCCATAGGTTCAGTTTGTGGAGGAATTTTTTCAGGTAGTTTTAGAGTAGTGAAAGGTTTTCTCCAGGTAAAATTAGTAAGAACCCTTTCAGCTTTTCTTTCTCTTAGACGTCTATCAATACTGATGGACAGTTGAATCAATGCATTTAAGGTAGGAGGAAGTTCTGTATGAGAGAGTTCATCTTTCACAGCTTCAGATAATCCGAGACGGAATTGATTGCGTAAAGTAATGTCATTCCATTGGGTTTCTGTAGCCCATCTTTTGAATTCTGCAATATAATCTTCAACAGGTCTATTCTTTTGGTATAATGTTCTGATGGTTAAATCAGCAGTAGTTTGTTTAAAAGGATCTTCATATAATAAAGACATAGCTTCAAAGAACTCATCCAATGAATCTAATATGGGATCATCATTTTCCAAAAAGGAATGGGCCCAGGTCATAGGTTCACCTCTTAAAAAAGAGATCACTGAACAGACTTTGGATCTTTCGGTGGGATAAGATCTAGGTTTTAAAGCTATTAGTAGTTTGCAAGAATTCAAAAACTCTCTGTACTTTGTTCTATCTCCATAAATTTTTTCTGGATTACAGACAGCAGGATCACCAGCCGATTGAAGAGCGGCATGAGGAAGATGACCTTGAATGTCTCTAACATAGGTTAATATTCTCTCATTTGTAATTTGCAGTTCCTGTAACCCTTGAGCAATCGTATCCACTCTATTGGTTAGGGCAGAAACTTGAGAGTTGATATCTGCTGGTTCCATTGAATAAGGCTGGATTATTCTGTAATATTTATTTTGTAATACTTCTTTAATTGGAACTCAACTGCAGAATTTCCTGGTTGCAGCAACAATAAGTTTCACCTCCTTTTATATTGATATAAAACAATGGTCACTGTACCTTTAAATACACATGAAGGAAAAATTAGGCTTTGTAGCAATCCCTTATGAATAAGAGGAATAATTAGACAAAGTGACACTTTAGTGAGTTTTAGATACTGTGTAACATAAATAATAGGAATTGGCTTGTTTGGTAAAAGTATTACTTAACTTAAAGGCAGTTCTGGCACTGGAAGGGTTAATTCACCCAATGAAGGAGAAATTAGAAGTCCGTTTCAACAAGCTGAGAACTAGGAGTGGAGAGTGGGGAAGTCCGTTTTAACAAGCCGAGGTCTGGGAGTGGAGAAGGTAGAATTCAGAGTTACAAGCCGAGGTCTAGGGGTGGAGAAGGTAGAAATCCGTTTACAAGCCGAGGTCGAGAAGTGGAGAAGGTAGAAATCCGTTTACAAGCCGAGGTCGAGAAGTGGAGAAGGTAGAAATCCGTTTTACTAGCCGAGGTCTAGAAGTGGAGCAGGTAGGATCAAAAGTAGAGCAGCTGATCTTTCTGCAGCACCTGTGCGAATAATCCAGCCCTTTGAATCTGGCGCGGTCTTCCTAAGTATCGTGGAGGGACCGCGTCAGAAAAAAGGGCAGGGCTGAGCGCCGTGAACCCGGAAGTGGGTTCCGGCGACGAAATACATGCCATGCTATACCTGACAATCTTATTCCCCCCCTCCCCTCTTTTTATTCCCCCCCTCCCCTCTTTTTATTCCCCCCCATCTTATTCCCCTCCCTCCCCTCTTCTTATTCCCCCCCTCCTCCTCTCTTCTTACCCCCTCCTCCCTCTCTTCTTACCCACTCCCCTGTAGCGTGGCCGAGCTGCACTCCGGTCCGCGGTGGCCGGCTGGAGTGATAGGAAGGTGCACACTGAGTGTGCACTTCCTGTCAGTCCGCCGGTTACAGGAAACAGAAACTCCGCGCGGAACAGGAGTTTCTGTTTCCTGTCACCGGCCGGACTGACAGGAAGTGCACACTCAGTGTGCACCTTCCTATCACTCCGGCAGGCCGGCCACCGCGGACCGGAGTGCAGCTCGGCCACGCTACAGGGGAGAAGCTGCAGCCGCCTGACCGCTCTTCACAGAGTGCTCGGGCGGCTGCAGTATTTAAAGGGCCGGCCCCAGGTGCCGACGGCCCACCGGGAAATTTCCCGGTATCCCGGTGGGCCAGTCCGGCCCTGACCATAACCACCGTAGACTCCTCCAGAAAGCAAAACAGGAACAAGCTCTTACAAGAGCTTAGCAGTGAATATAGCAAGAGAGTATGCAGAGCATAGCAATCCCTTGTAACAGATTCCCCCAATAAGAGACGGCACTCCAAATTGAGGGTGAAGTAGAACTGACTGTACTGGCACATACAGCCTCTTTTATTCACATTCTACAAACATAGTACTGCCCACAGGGTTTTGAAATACAACCAATCAATCCATACAATACACACAGACACTCCCACACAAAATCCTCCCCTCTGCCTGTGATATGATTACTGAACACAATGGTTAATATAATTATCACAGGCAGAGAAATACAGTATTATAAAACATATCACAGGGACCCCAAAACATGCAATAACCCCATAAAAAAATATCCTTGGAACCGGGGGATCTGGGTGAACCACATATCCAAAATTCACGCAGATCCGTTCAGTAGTTTAGAAGATACGGTTTAATGCAGATTCCGCAGAACATATACAGGCTATATGAAAAATAATTACTGTTAAATGTGTCCCCTGTTCTGTAGTTTAAAACTACTGCATGATGTCTTTGTGCACCAAATACCAGCGGGATGGAAAAAGTCAAAAAGTCAAAACAGTGTCTGTAAGTTAAAATTGCCGCCATCCATTGTTCTCACCATGTGCTTCATCCATTGTTCTCACCATGTGCCTCTGATACATGAAATGGTGGCCACCCAGTAACTCCACAGTATGTCCCCAGATGGTTCTTAAAGGGCCAGCAGCAGCACAACACAAATCCATTATGCCCAAATCATGTATTTAAAGGGCAATACATCCCAGGGGGTCATAGTCACATGGCAGGAGGCTGGCAATCAGTCTTCTCCAATGCCCAGTGGCGAGGTCGGTTTCACCACAGATATATTTTACTAGGTGGGGTGGGTGGGAGTTATGGGAAATTGGGGAATTTACTGTTTGTTTACTGTGTGCTGCTTACTGCTAGCTAGGGGTTAACTGTAAGAAAAAGTTTATAAAAAATGTAAAAGTGTAAAAGTTTCAAGAAAGTTTTAAAAAGTAAAAAAATTATTAAGTAAACAAAAAATGTAAAAACAAGTTTTAAAAAGTACAAAAAGTTAAAAAAGTTAAAAAATACATTAGAAAAATGCTCTAGCGAAAAAAAATGCTCTATCACTACACTAGCGAAACTAGCGAAAAAATGATCCCATGCTAAGGTTCAAAATATGTCTTTTGAATTATTCTGGGGTGTTTTCTTTAATAAATAGTATGTGTTTGTGGGGAAGTTTAAATAACCAACCAGCTAAATGAAATGAAACATGGACACCGCGTAAAACTTTAGAGTAAGAAAAAAACTGAATGGCTGCGTCTCAAATGTGCCCCTTTAACATCCATATATATCTGGCAAAGGTACATATGGGGGTATTGCTGTACTCAGACGACATAGCTTAGCAACATATGAAGTATTTTACAGTCATAGCACACGTAAGGTTTATAAAATATACTGTGCTTATTACCACTACACTTGGTACAAGCTAGCGGAAAAATTATCCCACGCTAAGGTTCAAAATATGCCTTTTGAAATACCCTGGGATGTCTTCTTTAAGGAATGGTATGCCTTTATGGTGTAGCTGGAATATGTAGCCTGCTCAAGTGCTCCAAAATGGGACACGGACATATCAAAACCCTCCATGAAAATTCACACTTGAAAACCTGAACTTGTCACGTCTCTTTTACAACACTGTAACTTCACAAAATAGTGTCTAGATCATACATTGGGCATATTGTTTTACTCAGATTTTATAACAGTGGTACATATCAAGTGTGAGAAAAATGCAACATGTATGTAAAAATGCAACGGTTTCCCCTCACCAAACATTGACATAAATTGGTGAAAAAATGGTGGCAAGTTAAGGCACAATATATGCCATATAAGATACCCCTGGGTGTCTACTTTATCAAATGGAAGCATTTTGTGGAGTTTGTGGAGTTATCTGAATACTCACACTGATATAAATACCCCAAATTGAGACATATGCCGTCAATGAAAATTCTAACTATAAAAACTGAAATAGCGTTGTCTCCTATATGGCATTGTAGCCAGGGGCGGACTGACCACTCGGGCACTTCGGTCATGGACCGAGGGCCCGAGGCAGTCAGGGGCCCGGCAGCACAGCCATGCTCCAGCTGGAGAGATCAGAGATCTCTCCAGCTGGAACGGAAAAATAATAAAATAAAACTTTTTAATTGATAGGTTGTGGGGCCCCTGATGCAGCGCGGGGCCCCACAACCTACCGCTCTGCATGAGACCTGGCAGCTTCACCTCCTCCCTGCCAGGTCTCCTGCTTCCTCTCCCATGCGGCTCTGTGTGATGGGAGAGGCGGGGCCAGGAAGTGACATCACTTCCTGTTTACTCCTCTCACACAGAGCCCAGCATGGAGAAGGAGCAGCAGGCGGGGAGAGAAGAGGGAGCAGAGATGCAGGTAGGCACCAACCACCCCCTTCCCCCCCCCTCACTATCACCAGTCACCCCCCTCACTGTCACCAGTCACCCCCCCACTGTCACTAGTCACCCCCCACTGTCACTAGTCACCCCCCCACTCTGTCACCCCCTCACTGTCACTAGTCACCCCCCCACTGTCACTAGTCATCCCCCCTCACTGTCACTAGTCACCCCCTCACTGTCACCAGTCACCCCACTGTCACTAGTCATCCCCTCACTGTCACTAGTCACCCCCCCACTGTCACCAGTCACCCCCCCCACTGTCACTAGTCACCCCCCACTGTCACTAGTCACCCCCCACTCTGTCACCCCCTCACTGTCACTAGTCACCCCCCCACTGTCACTAGTCATCCCCCCTCACTGTCACTAGTCACCCCCCCACTGTCACTAGTCATCCCCCCTCACTGTCACTAGTCACCCCCTCACTCTGTCACTAGTCACCCCCCACTGTCACTAGTCACCCCCCACTCTGTCACCCCCTCACTGTCACTAGTCACCCCCCCACTGTCACTAGTCATCCCCCCTCACTGTCACTAGTCACCCCCCCACTGTCACTAGTCATCCCCCCTCACTGTCACTAGTCACC